TCTCCATGGAAATAAAAGCTACATGATTGAAGAAAGAATCTAAAAGAGACATCATCCCACTACCAAGAGTTAATTGTATCTGACAAATATACCTATCTTTCAGTAAAAGCACTCAAGGATGAATGGAGAGTAAGTTTTTCATCTAACCGTCTCAACTTTTTCAGAAACAACTGAATTTTACGGGAGTCTGAAAGAGGCTGATTACTCACATCTCCCATGTGTACAGATAGTGTACATTTTGTCCTGCATACATGTATCTCAAGTTACTTGCACATAAGAGGGGCTAGTATTTGTTGACAGCTACATTCTTCTGGAGTCTCTAAGAACCATATCCTAGGTAAAAAAATGACATGTCAATAGGTTGTGGGCAAAGTCAATGAGCAAACAGAGCCACAGAGCCAGACAGGGCCTGTAAGAAATTCGAGACTACCTCCCTATCTTAAGGTTAGTTTCCTAAACTAAGCATCATATAACAACCTCTTAAGCATCTTTAACCACGACGAAACGAAAAACAATTTCGTCTTCAGTTCGTTATGAGACGAGTGAGGTTCCAAGGGCGAAACTGAATCCCTGAATTGACCTCATTTCAGCATTCATTCCAGGGCTCAGAATTTTTTCCTTCTCCAAATTTGGCTTTTGTGGCCGAGCTTACGATGACTTCGTCAAGGCGACCTTTGCAATGATCTCTTCCAGAAGCTGGCCCCTCAGTGGCTATCCACAGACATGGGAGGTCAGGCTGGCTTAGTCCAGATTTCGAGGCGGGTAGCCTCGGCAAAAGTGTATTTTAAAAGTCAACAGCAAGCGTGCCTGCAGCCGCGGAGGAGCGGAGGCCCCGGGCACCACAGCGAGGACCGAAGCCGAGGACCCCAGTTCAGTCCCTGGCGTCCCTACCGCCAACCTCCCCACCCGAAGGTCGGCACTACCGAAACCCCGCCTACAGAGAAACTGATACCGCACACTGGCTGGAGACTGATTGTCGGCGAAGGACCCGGGAAAGGGGCGGGGCGGAGCTGTCTCCAAGAGCGCATGAGCATGCTCGGTCGCTGGTTTCCAGGGAGTCGGGTGAGGGACAGCGGAAAGTCCCGCCCAGTTCCTGACGTGCGCAAGCGCGCTCACGGATCTTGGTCTAGGGGCGCCGATTCCCGAACGGGGCTCGGGGCGGGGCCGGGGGCGCGGCTAAATGCGGAGGGAAGGTTCGCCTTTCACTGTCTGCCTGCCGCCACCCGTCAGCTAGCCACCAAGTCCTCTGAAGGTCATGCTGCCCAACACTGGGTAAGAGGATGGGGAGCGGCGCCAGGTCGCTGGGCGGGCAGACGGATCCCAGAAGTGGCCGCGGCGCTCTCTCCCCTCGGGTTCGCCCGGAGTAGCGGGGACCCGCGGCAGCGCCCGGGGAGTGACCCACAGTGGGCACTTCTGCCCAGCCTGGGTAGGGAAGGGCCACCCACACCCCCGGGGCGCCCCGCCTGCGCTCCAGCCTTGGCTGCGTAGCTGCGACGCGCGCCAGTTCTAGGGGAAAGGTCGCTTGGGACAGTCGGTGATTGGATTTTCCGTTGGTTCCGAACGCATGGTTGTTAATAATGAAAAGAATGGTGGTTTTAAAGAATGTTTTTCAAATTAATAACAATTTTAAATATTGTTAAAATAGGGATATCTTGGTGGGGGCGGATTTTTTTTTTCTCACTTAGAATGTGATCAAATACCATCTTTACCAGTTTTAAGTGTACAATTTAGGAGTATTAAATATATTCACAAAGTTGTGCAGCCAATGTCCAGAACTTCTCAACCAGCAAAATTAGAACAAATACCCCAAGACACTGTCTTCCAGTTTCCTTCTCTCCACTCCGTAGCTCCTAGTAAACGCTTGTCTACTATGTTTCTGTGAAGTTTACTTAAGTACTTAAGTCGAATAATTTCTGTAATTAGCTTGGAAGATAGACATTGAAAAAATTTAAATAGTTGAAAAAGGTGTTGGTAAGAAGTCTTTTCGAGTCTTACACCCGTCTGGAACGGGAGTTACAAGCAGTTGTGAGCTGTCTGATGGGAGTGCTGAGAATTACATTCAGCTTCTCTGCAAGAACAGTACCTGCTCTTAGCCACTGAGCCTTTTCTGCAGCCCCTAATGAGGGCTTTCTGTTGTTTGTATAGTGAAACTGGGAAACGAAATCCAGGGCCTCATGCATGTTGGCATAATCAAAGTCAAGATGCTATAAAAAAGTTAGTTGTGATACATATGAAGAACAAAGTTTCTCAAATAAATTTAAAAAATCCCAGTCCCTAACAGAGCCAACACCCAGTGAGATTTTTTAATTTATTTGAGAAATTTTGTCCTTTATCATATGTATCACGAGTATCTTGAGTTTTACTTTTTTTTTTTTTTTTTTTTTTGGTATTTTTGAGACAGGGTATCCCTGTAGCCCCTGCTAACCTGGAATGTGCTTTGTAGACCAGGCTGACCTTGAACTCACAAAGATCTCCCTGCCTCTGCCTCCCAAGTGCTGGGATCAAAGGCTTGCGCTACCACACCCGGCTGTAACTTGAGTTTTATTGCATCTTCACTTTGATTATGCTAAATGCACTTTTATGAAGTCAGAATTACCTGCCCTTCTAAGACTTTTGTGTTTTTGTGACATACCTATAAGATTACATTAAACCAAGATCTTTCAGTTTGTGTTTTAATATTTTATGGTTTCACACTGTATTTTGTGATGCTGGGGACTGAATTCGTGGATTCACATGCATTAGATAAGTGCTGTACAACTGAACTCTTATCTCCAGCCCTTATTGTTATACTTTTTGTCAATGGTTTTGTTAATTTTATGTATTTATTTAATTTATTATTTTTATGTTATGTATATGAGTGTTTTGCTTGAATGTATATAAGTGTACCACATGCATGCACTGCCCTCAGAGGTCAGGAAAATATGTTGAATCCCTTGGAACTGGAGTTGTTAACTACCATGTAAGTTCTGGGAACTGAACCTGGGTCCTCTATAAAAGCGGCAATGCTCTAGACCACTGAATCATCTCTCCAGCCCATTTTTATACTTTCTATGAATCTTTTTATGACAGACATATAGCATATGTATATATATGTATATATATATATATTTTTAACCACCTGAGATTTTATTTTGGTATAGGAGATGAGTTAGAAAGTCCACTTCATTTTGGTTCAGATAGCTATCTCACTGTCTCAGCCAAATCTAATGATTAGTCCTTTCTCTTTTCTTAGTAATTCCACCACAATCATGTTAGATTTTTGTATACATAGGGATCTGTTTCTTCATTCTATCCTCTTGTATTTTGGTCTGTCCATGTGTTAGTACTGAACTTTTTTTGTGTGTGGTTTTTTTTATTTTGTTAAAGGTGTGTGCCGCCACACCTGGCCCTAATTAATCTAGTTTTATGAAATATTTTAATATCTAGAAAAGCTAGTTCATTTGGATTATTTTTCTGAATTTTTCTGGCTATTTTTGGATATTTAGTTTTTCTAATGAACTTTAGAATAGCTGATATACATATATATGTATATATACACCCATATATATATATTTTTTTAATCGTTCAAAATTGTATCACTATTTACTCTGATTTTGAAAGACTCTTAGTAAAGTGAAGTCTAGATTGTCTCTCCATTTACACATTTTAGTTATTTAACAATGGCATTAAGAAATATGGACTTGGGGCTGCAGAGATGCAGTGGTTAACACTGGTTGTTCTTGCAGAAGACCTTGGTTCGAATCCCAGCACCCATATGGCAGCTAACAACTGTAACTCTGGTTCCAGGGGATCCGTCGGCCTGTTCTGTCCTCCGCTGGCATTGCACGACACGGGTGCACTTACCTACACACAGGCAATAAACGCATACAAATAAAATAAAAATAATAAAAAAAGAAATATGGACTTATTCTCTGAGTTGGCAGTCAGATTCTAATGCTTTGGAACCCAGGTCTTTCTCAGTGGGGCAGATCTGAATGCCTTTGTCACTCTTGCTGCCAGTACCCTGGACCCTGGGTGAGAAGGTGGAGAATGCCCTTTATCCTACTGGGATTTAGTCCCGCTGCATTCCAGGCAAAGGGATAGGGCCTTTGTAACCAGTAGTTGGAGGACATTTTCATGTGAATACTTAACATTAAATATCTTTTTTTTTTTGGTCTTTTTGAGACAAGGTCTCTCTGTAGCCCCAGCTGGCCTAGAACTCACTATGTAAACCAGGCTGATCCACCTGCCTCTACCTCCCAAGCGCTGGGATTAAAGGTGTGCGCTACCACGCCTGGCTAACATTAAATATCTCTTTAGTTGTCTGTGTATACTGATTTATATACTGGGAAAATAGAAAATTACACACACACATATATGTAGAATGTATTATGTGTATTACATATGTTTGTGTATTTCTGAAAATTAAAAAGGACAGGTCAGAAATTAATAAAGCTGGTTATACACAGATAAGATACCAGACTTCTTTGAAAATACATGATTATAAGGTTTTGACTTTTAAGTCATGTTTTAAAAACATTCATTGTCAATGATCAGGAAACAAACAAACAAAAAAACTAAACTAAAATTGAGATTGGGTGTGGTGGCCCACACTTTTAATCCCAGCTCTTAAGAAGCAGAGGCTTCTCTGTGAGTTCAAGGCTAACTTAGTCTATAGTAAGTTCCAGGCCAACCAAAGCTACATAGTGAGACCCTGTCTCAAAAGAGCAAAACTAAACTAAACTAAAATTGAATGCCAACATAAACAAACTTATACATTAAATATCACATAATCATTCAGAGAAAAAGAACAAATCCCAAGTAATTTTTATTTTATTTTTTAAGCATTTTATTTATTTATTTTTTTTCTTTTTGAGACAGGGTTTCCATGTAGCCCCAAGTGGCCTGGAACTCATTGTGTAGACCAGGCTGGCCTTGATCTCACAGAGATCCATCTGCCACTACTTCTCAATGCTAGAAGTAAAGGTGTGCACCACCATACCCAGTCAAAGTGATTATTTTAAAGAGTTTACTATTAAAAATCATGTGTCTGTTTATGAGTATGTGCACATGAGTGCAGGTGCCCATGGAAGCCACGGGCATTGGATTCCCCAGGAGTTGGATCACAGGGGTTGTGAGCCAGCTGATATGGGTGCTGGGAACTGAGTTCATGACCTCTGAAGGAGCAGGAAGCACTCATACCACTGAGCCATCTCTCCAGCCCCTAATTTTTATTTTAAAACCACTTCTGCTTTTACTTCTGATAACCTACTTTTCAGTGTGATCCTCAAGATCAGGTTGGAACCTCTTGTTCTTTTGTTAACAGATTTGCTTCTGTTGTTACCACTTTTTTAGTTGCCTTTGTCAGTTTTTCTGTCTTGTATTTGCCCTTTCCTTAAGCAAGCTCTTTATTTGTCCTTAGAAAGTCACCAAGAAAGTGTTATTGGTGACACTACTATTTTATTTTAGGCATTTCCTTCTCCCTTAATAGCTAAATAGAAAAATTCAAGTTCAGAAGGAAGGGTGTAGAGAATGAAATGGGAGACAGGGAACTGTCAAGGTATTTGAATCTAGACTATTTCCAATCAGACTTAGCTGTTTCTGTATACTCTAGGTTTATTTCTTTAGCAGCTTTACTGAGACATAATTTGTACACTGAACAATTTACCTTCTTAACTTGTACAGTCATTGGCTTTATATATTCACTCCCAAATTTTGTCACAATAAATTTACAACCTTTTTTTTTTTTAAGACAGGGTTTTAATATGTAGAAGTGGCTGGCCTAGAAGTTGCTATGTAGATCAGGTTGGCCACAGACTCACAGAGATCTGCCTGCCTCTGCCTTCTGAGTACTGGAATTAAGTATGCCACTTCTCCCACTTTAAAACCTTTTTATCATCTCTGAAAGAAACTCTTTACCCCTCGGCTGTCAACTCCCAGTCCATCCTCCTTACAACTGTGGGTAGCCACTGATCTTGAGTCTCTACAGCTTTGACTGTTCTGTTCATGTCATAAAAATGGAATCCTACAATAATATCATCTTTTGTGACTTTATTTTTCTTAGATGATTCATCCTTGTAGCATGTTTTAGTAATGTATTTCTTTTTATTTCTGAACAATGTTTCATTGTGTGGCTAAACTACATTATATATATATATGCATTTATTAATTGATCCACATTTGGGTTTCCACTCAAGCTACTAGCGTGCATTGGATAATTATTTGTTTTTAGAAAATTTCTTTTATCAGGTAGAATTTTGTAGAAAATTTGGGAGGCAGAGGCAGAGGCAGAGGCAGGTAGAACTCTGTGAGTTCGAGGCCAGCCTGGTGTACATAGTGAGCTCCAGGCCAGCTGGGGATACAGGGAGACTCTGTCTCAAAGAGAGAGAGAGAAAAAAAATTTTGTAGAAAATTATAGTTAGAGGGGCTAGAGAGATGGCTGAGTGGTTAAGAACACTAGTTGTTCTTATAAAAGACCCGAGTTCAAATCCCAGCACCCACATGGCAGCTAACAACAGTCTAACTCCAGTTCTAGGGGATCTGACAGCCTCTTCTGTCCTCTGTGGGCATTGTATGACACGAGTGCACTTACATACATGCATGCAATACACGGCATACACATAAAATAAAAAAAATAAATAAAAAATTATAGTTAGACTATAAAGGAAAAATTATGCACAATTCTGCCACTCAAAAATAGCATGTTATCAGGCATAGTGGTACACCTGTAATCCCAGCACTTGGGAGGTAGCGGTAGGAAGGTCAGGGGTTCAAGGCCAGCCTGGGCTACATGAGACTCACTGTAACAAACAAACAAACAAACAAACAAACAAACAAACTGGGCTGGAGAGATGGCTCTGTGGGTAAAAATGCTTGCTGCTTAAATCTGAGGACCTTGAGTTTAAATCTGCAGCTCCCATGCAAGAAAAGCTGGGTGTGGCCATATGCACCTGTAACCCTAATGCTGTCAAGGAAGGAAACAGGATTGCTGTGACAGGTAGGCTGCCAGCCTAGCTCCAACTTCACTTAGAGATCCTGTCTAAAGAGAATTAAGGCAGAGTAATTAGAAAAGGGCACCTGAGGGCTGGAGAGATGGCTCAGTGGTTAAGAGCACAGACTGCTCTTGCAGAGGACCCAGGTTTGATTCCTAGCACTCACATGGCAGCTACAAACCATCCTTTACCCAGTTCCAGGGGAATCCAATGCCCTCTTCTGACTTCCGCGGCATTACACCACACGGGTGCACTCACATACATGCAGACACTACATTCGTACACGTAAAATAAAAATAATAAATAAAAAAATATTAAAAAGAAAAAGAAGTCAGGCATGGTGGCACATGCCTTTAATCCTAGCACTAGGGAGGAAGAGCCAGGTGGATCTCTGAGTTCAAGGCCAGCCTGGTCTACATAGTGAGTTCCAGGACAGCTGGGGCTACAGAGAGACCTTGTCTCAAAAAAAAGAAGAAGAAGAAAAAGAAAAAAGGGCACCTGAGGTCTTCTTGAGGTCTTCTTCCTCCTTTGGTCTTTGTGTGTGCACCTTCACACACAAATGACCCATATCATATACGTACTTACATACATATCCTTGTTGATACTTTTTCTGTGGAAAAAAATGGCATGTTTAGGTAGTGTATCTTACTAGTTCATTTCTCTCTTTTTAAAATTTTATTTGTTATTTTTATTTTATGTGTATGTGTGTATTGCCTGCATGTAGGTAAGTGCACCCATGTTGTGAATGCCCACGGAGGTCAGAAGAGGCTGTCAGATCCCCTGGGACTGGAGTTAGCTGCCATGTGGGTGCTGGGATTTGAACCCTCATCTTCTGCAAGAACAACCAGTGTTCTTAACTGCTGAGCGATCTCTCCAGCCCCCTAGTTCATTTCTCTTTAAGATTTACTTTGTATTTGAGCAGATTTTGTGCCAGATCACAGCAAGATTGGCCAACTGCAGTTGTCATAAATAATTTATGAGTCATTGTACAGTGGAAGTATAGCTATCAGATGGGCAGGTGTGCTGGATAGCTTTAGTGTCAACTTGACACACCTGGGTTGAGGGAGCCTCAACTGGGGAATTGCCTCCATTGGACTGGCCTGTGGCCATGTCTCTGGGGCATTTTCTTGATTGTTGAGTGATGTGGAAGGGCCCAGCCCACTGTGGGTAGTGTCACCCCTGGGCAGGTGGGCCTGTGTTGGATAAGAGAGCAAGCTGAGCAGGGGCCAGAGGAGCAAGTCAGTAAGCAGCATTCCTCCATGGCCTGTGCTCCAGCTCCTGCTCCCAGGTTCCTGCCCTGAGTTCCTACCTTGGGCTCCCGGATGAACTGTGACCTGGAGATGTAAGACAAATAAAGCCTTTCCTCCCCAAGTTGGTAGTGGTCAGAGTATTTTGTCACAGCAATGGAGAAACAAACTACGACAGCAGGGGAGGCTATAGAGAAACTAATAGAGCAGGAAACATGTCTATTGTGAAATGTGCATGAGTTGATGCATGTAAAATATTGACATTTCTAATAAGGTCATCTTTATCCTGTTGTAGGAAGCTGGCAGGATGCACAGTTTTTATCACAGGTGCAAGCCGAGGCATTGGCAAAGCTATTGCATTGAAAGCAGCGAAGGATGGAGCCAATATTGTCATTGCTGCCAAGACTACCCAGTCACACCCAAAACTCTCAGGGACAATCTATACGGCTGCTGAAGAGAGTGAGTGTGACATTTGCCATTTCCCAGACTGTCCTCACAGTGGTTTCAATATATAATCTGTAGAGTGTAGTGTAAACTACTCTAAAAGGAAATGTATGTTTAGGACTGACATCATGGCTTAGTGGGTTAAAGGTATTTGCCACCAAGCCTGACAACCTGAGTTCAGCCTGTGTTTTTTTAATTATTTTAATTTTATGTGTATGAGTATATTGCCTGCATATGTACCTGTGTTGTGCACTGCCTGTGGAGGTCAGAAGAGGTCGGATCCCTTGGAACAGACGGTTATTAGCCACCATTGTGGGTGTTGGGAATTGAACACAGTCTCTGTAAGAGCAGCCAGTACTCTTAACCTCTGAGCCATCTTTCCAGCCCTACCTGTATTGTTTTTAAATAAAATTGGCATAGATGATTAGTTTATCTTTCTACTGTAGGAGATAGTTACTAGTGGTTATAAGACCTTGTAATTCATCTTGATTTTTCTGGAAACAGGATACTTTTTTTCTTTTTCCATGTGGTGAAAGGAGAGAGAACCAACTTCTATAAGTTGTCTTCTGACCTCCACATGCATATTGTGGCACATACCACATACACACAAATAAATAAATGTAAAAGAATTAAAAAAAATTGTACATTCACCCAAGGCTCACAGAACATAGTGTAACCAGGGGTAGAGACAATACTAGTACATCTTTTAACACTCATCAATGAAGCTTCCTCATGCAACAGAGGGCCACAAACACTAAAGAACATAAATGGCCAAAGCATAGAGGATAGGCGTTTGCAGAGTGGGTCCTTGGACAGGACTCCTATATTAAACTTCACTCACCCAGGACTCAGGGACCATTTTGGAAGAGGGGATGGAAGGAAAGATTGTAAGAGCCAGGGAAGGAGGTGCATGACCATATGGAAATGGTCCTACCGATACCTAGAATCTTTCTCATACAAACCCTCAGCAATGGTCTCAGCATGCAGAAGACCCATGCAAACCTAAGCAGACAAAAACCCAGCATAGAATTGTGGAAATGGGTAGTAGACCCCATTCTTAGCCAAGGAACTATTGGCAGCTGATTATTGCTGGGTGAGGAAGAGTTGATTTTTTTAAATAGACAGACTCTAGATAGGCTGACTAGACCCCAGTGGATGAACTTGCATTGAGGGATGTCTGGGGACACTAAACTTGATTCAATAGGCCTTAATACAAATGACAGAATGTATGAAATCCGGTGGTAAGGGGTATGGGAGGGTGCCGATGGGGAAAATGGTAAAAAGATGATTAAAATGTTCTGTATAGGGGCTGGAACTGGAGTTACAGGTGGTTGTGAACCATGTTGGTGCTAAGAACCCAACTAGGGTCTCCTTCAAGAGCGGCAATTGCTCTTAACCACTGAGCCATCTCTCCAGCCCCTAATGGAAGTTCTTTAAACATATATTCATTCATTCATTCATTCATTCATTCATTCATTCAGGTAATCTCTTCGTGTAACTTAGACTGGCCTAGAGACGACTAGATAGCCCAGTTTGGCCTCAAACTCTTGATCCCCCTGCCTCAGCCTCACACATGTTGGGATTGCAGGTTTGTTAACGTACCTGGCTCTTTGTTATTTAATAAAACTGGCATAGCTGGTTGGGAGCTGAATTACGATTAGTCAATCTGTCTATTGTAGATTAGAGTTACTAGTGGTTATTAACTTGATTTTTCTAAGAATGGGGCATTTTTTCTTTTTACCGTTGTTGCATCAGAATGTAAGGTATAATTGTTGACTATTTTAATGCTTTTTCCTTTGCTTCTCCTTTGTAGTTGTAGCAGCTGGAGGAAAGGCCTTGCCATGTGTTGTTGATGTGAGAGAAGAACAGCAAATCAACCTTGCAGTGGAGAAAGCAGTTGAGAAATTTGGAGGTAGTGCCTTAATTCTGAAATAACTATTGAGTATTGATAAAATATAGGTGTAGCAACCTCCAGTGGATGCCAGAAGCCATGGGTCTTACTGAACCCTGTTTATACTGTTTTTTTCCCTATACTGCATGCCTATGATAAATGTTATAAACTGGGTACAGTTACAGGTTAACAGCAGTAATAAAATATAGCAATAATAATGTGCTGTAATGAAAGCTATGTGACCACAGGCTCTTCTTTGTCATCTGCTGTTTGAGGTACATAATTCACTTTGCAAACTAGTATGGAGCTGAGTTTCTTCTAACTTCTTCACAGTTCACTGGTGTAAGAATTGTTCTTACCTTAGATCTAGTTAGCATCCTCAGCATGAAAGTTTTTTTCCTTAAGTAGAGAACTGTTACCTTTTTCACTGAAAACAAGCATCACTCCTTTTGTACTTTAGGTTCAAATCAAGTAAGTACAAGCATTGTGATAGACAGTTGATCAGAGAGATGATCAATACAACCACTAAGTGACTAGTGTGTGCATAATATATATACTACACAAGAGATGCCTCAGATCCTGGGCAGGATGGAATTGGATGGCTTGAGATTTCATCATGTTTTACTCAGAATAACATGCAGTTTAGCACAAATTATTTTCTGTAGTTTTCCCTTTAATATTTTCAATTTGTCATTGACCTTCAGTAACTGAACTGTGGAAAGTGAAAATGTGAATTAGGAGGCACTGCTGAATAGTTTTTTGGGGGGGCGGGGGTTGGTCTTTTTTTGAGACAGGGTCTCCCTGTAGCTCCAGCTGTCCTGGAACTCACTATGTAGACCAGGTTGGCCTTGAACTCACAGAGATCTGCCTGCCTCTGCCTCCCCAGTACTGGGATTAAAGGTGTGTGCCACCACCCCTGAATAGTTTTTTTTTTTTTTGAGAAATTCATATGTATATGCAGTAATCGGAGGTCATATTCACCCATTACCCTTTCTTATTCCTGCTGACCCTCCTCCTTCCCAGTTAGTCCTCCTACCTTCATGTCTTCTGTATATTTGTGTGCAGGTCTTGTGCAGGGAGCCAGCTGCTTGTAGGCTTCATGATTTCAGTGCTGATTTTTTTTTTTTTTTTTTTTTTGAGACCAGGATCTCCCTGTAGCCCCAGTGGGCCTAGAACTCAATATGTAGATGAGGCTGGCTTTCATCTCACAGAGATCTTCCTGCCTCTGCCTCCTAAGTGCTGGGATTAAAGGCGTGCACCACCACATCTGGCTCTATATAAAGAACCTTTTTAAAGACACTTGAACTCTGTCATTAAACTATATCTCCAGCCGTTGGATTTTTTGAGATAGGGTCTCATAATTTCACCTAGACTGTCCTTGAACTTGTCTCTTCCTCCCAGATTCTGAGTTTATGGAAATTTACCACTAATGCCCAACATCAGTTTTTAAAAGTGCACAATTCAGTGGCATTAGTTTTATTCATACTGTTGTGCCCCTTAGAATAATGAAGACTAGCCAGGTGTGGAGGCAGGGGAATCTCTGTGAGTTCAAGGCCAGCCTGGTCTACACAGTGAGTTCTGGGTCAGACCATGTTGAGACAAAGGAAAATGGGTGATGTGATATTGTAGTTTTGTAATTTTCATTTAATATTATTTTGTTAAGCATGTAACAAAACAAGATATACTGTATATAGGTAGGAACTGGATAACTAGATAGAGTTCATAGAAATTAGAATTTTTTTGTATTTGTTTCTATGAGTCACTTAAAGTCAATTCATCACTTGTCTGGGCTCTGAAACTCAAAGATCATTTACTTTTTCCAGTTTCCAAGGCTACAAAAGAGACCGTTCCTTTAAGAAAGGAGCTTTTGGCCGGGCGTGGTGGTGCATGCCTTTAATCCCAGCACTTGGGAGGCAGAGGCAGTTGTATCTCTGTGAGTTGAAAGTCAGCCTGGTCTACATAGTGAGTTCCAGGCCAGCTGGTCCTACAGGGAGACCCTGTCTCAAAAAGACCAAACAAAAAAAGAAAGGAGCTTTTGGAGGAGAGGGAGACTAGTGTTCTTGGAAAGGTCATGGGTCCTGGAGAATACAGTAGAGGATTTGACCCAAGGTTCCTAAGATAGAGAAGGGTAGTAGGTAAGAGAACCAATAGGTTTGAAGCTATAATTTGTAAGGACTCAGTCTCCTTGAAGTTTCCCAACGAACTTATGTGATTGGCTGTATCTCCATTGTGCCAATGAAAATCATGAGTGCTCTTTTGAAAGAGTTACTAAGTCTGGCATTGGTATATTGGTCAATCATATTATATAAAAGTATTTGTCAGTCTGCTGAGGGTTCAGCTGTAGAACCAATGCTTTTCTGTGCATGCTAAAAACTCTGACTTGTATTAAAATGAAATTGATTTCTTTGGAAACAGGAATTGACATTTTGGTGAATAATGCCAGTGCTATTAGCTTGACCAACACATTGGACACTCCTACAAAGAGAGTGGACTTGATGATGAATGTGAACACCAGAGGCACCTACCTTACGTAAGTCACAGAGTGTGGGGAAAGATGTCCCAGTGTTTTCTTACGGAACTTACCTACTTACCTACAGATGGGGACCAAATAACAGTACAAGTTAAACTCTAGTCAGCATATTTACCTATCTAATTAGAACTGAAGATATTAGTATCTATGAGAGTTTTCAATATAAAACAGGGCTCGTTGCTATGACAAGTGTGATATGGGATTTGTGATGTTGAAGGCCCTGCACAGCTGGCAGGGTTTTGTCTAATAGGTCAAAGGAAAGCTTGTGTTTGTAGTGTAAATGAAATGAGCTGTTTCCTTGGAGTGTAAATTATGGTCTTACTGTTTGGAGTGGATTTTGTTTGTTTCCTATTGATTGGTTGAAGTGCAGTTTCAGTTATAATGAAAATCAGCTATGATACTGTTTGCCTGTCCTCACTTCACCTCCGTAAAAGCAAAGCACCTTTGGAAATGAAAAGCAGTATGTACAAACCCCTGTAGTGGTATTGATTGTAGCTGGTGCTAAGCCTAAAAACAAGCTGGAATTGGTTAACAGAGTGATGTACATTTGGACATTTAAAGAACTGACTTGAAAGAATAGACTAGTTCACAATCTTTTTTTTTTTTTTCAGTGCTGAGGCTTGAACCCTTACAAATTATGCATGCTAAGCAGATGCTGTACCACTGAACTAAAGTCTCAACCCCTAGAATTTCTTTTGTTGTTGTACTCTATTTTATTTATTTATTTATTTATTTTTTGGTCTTTTTGAGAAAGGGTCTCCCTGTAGTCCCAGCTGTTCTAGAACTCAGTATGTAGACCAGGCTGGCCTTGAACTCACAGAGAACCGCCTGCCTCTGCCTCCCAAGTGTCAAGATTAAAGGCATGCGCCACCAAGCCCGGTGACTCTATTTTATTTTTATTTACATTTTAAAAGATTTATTTTAATTTGTATGTATGAGTAGTATTTTACCTGCATGTATGTATGTATGTAGGCTACAATATATTATTTAGCTATAAGATGTAGTAACTTTAATACTTAAAAGTTTGAAAATATTACATGTAAATTTTTTATTTTATTTATTTTTTAAAAATACTTTATGCTGGGCATAAATATATATGTTAAAATATATATATTTTATTTATGGCCTAGAGAAATAGCTCAGCGGTTAAGAACACTGTTCTTGCAGAAGACCTGGGTTCGTATCCCAGCACCCACATGGCAGCTAACAAATGTCCGTGACTCCAGTCCCGGGGGATCCGACAGCCTCTTCTCTCCTCTTCGGGCATTGCACGACCTGGGTGCACTTACTTACCTGCAGGCATAACACTCATACACATAAAATAAAAATAATAAATAAGGGGCTGGAGAGATGGCCCAGCGGTTAAGAACACTGACTCCTCTTGCAGAGGACCCGGGTTTGATTCCCAGCAGCCACATGGCGGCTACAAACCGTCCTGAATTCCAGTTCCAGGGGACTCTGAAGCCGTCTTCTGACCTCCGAGGCATTGCACGATATGGGTACACTCACATACATGCAGGCAATACACTCATACACATAAAATAAAA